ACCCCCGCAGGCGGTTGGGCGCGCCCCAGCCTTGGAGCGGGGCTGACCCCGAGGGTAGCAGCACCTGCAAGAGAAGCAGGGATGGAGGATGCTCTGTGGGGCCAGCTGCTCACCCTGTGTCTCTTTGCCTCTCCTTTGGCCAGTACAAGGCCAGCTACAGCCGTCACTTCATCTCTCCAGATAAACAAGAGCGCCAAGATAAAGAAATCTTCCGGCAGAACATGAAGAGGCGGTTGGAGACCTTCAAGTCCACAAAGCACAATGTGTGCTCCTCCAAGAACAAGGCCAGGCTGAAGGAAAAGGGCAGGAAAAAGGCAAGTGCTCCCCAACCTTCTGCTCCTTTCTTAGCTCTGAGATTTGGCTTCCCCCAGGATGCAGATAGTGAGGTCCTTTGGGGTGTAGGCGAGGTGCTGCAGGGCATCAGCAGCTCCAGAGCCGCTGGGGAAAGTGGCTCGTCTCATCTCATCTCATCTCATCATCTCATCTCATCTCATCTCATCTCATCTCATCTCATCTCATCTCAGTCCTGCGTATGCTGTGTGTGAGCACGTGGGTATTGCATGTCCACTTGTCCCCACCATGCTAGCGCTGCCATGGGATGGCTCTTCCCTGGGCAAAGTGGTCCCAAGCCCTGGAGGAGCCCCATGTTTGTTTTCCAAGAGCACTCAGCATAAAGTAGCCTGGACATCAGTGCAGATCCAGACTCAGAAATGTGGCACTGTGCCTTAAATTGAGCCTTAGGAGTCTTCTCTCATTTGGAGGCTTTTGAAGCCACTGCAGCTGAGCTGTTTGTTGTAGGGCCATGAAGACGCAATGCCTAAGGACTAGGAACCACTGACTGCCAGCTGCCATCTAGCCGGGGTGGGAATCTGTGTCCCCGGGGTTACCCTGGCTTGCAGGGCCACCTGGGTTGGGGTTAGCGGTTTGCACGGGACAGGTCCCAGCCGGTCCCTCTTCCTCCGCAGAAGAACATCTCTCTGACTAGAGAGGCGCCCAATGGGAAGACGCACAGAAATGTCCCCTGGCAGGAGGCGGGTAAGGCCGGTGGCTGGTGAGGTTTGCAGGTTCTGGCAAAGGGACCTGGTGGGGTGGAATGGGAGCAGCCCGCTGTGCCTGCCCACTGCCAGCTCAGTGGCACGACAGCGCCTGGGGTTGTGCTAGCACCAAGTCCTTCTCCCATGCGTGCAGTCCTTCCCCCACAGGGTGCCCCATCCTCCAAACCAACTCCCTCCATCTGGCTGCAGCTCCTGTCCTGGTGATGGTCAGCTCAGAGGAGGAGGAGAGCGATAGCTCGGAAACGGAGAGAGAGGATGATGAAGGGATTGTGTTCATTGCTCGAGCCACCGATGAGGTCCTGCAAGGAAAGACAGCTCCTGGTAGGCACCAATGCTCTCACACCAGGGCAGCTGCTGTTGGGTAGCTTGTCCTTCCTCCACCTGGGGAGCAAAGTTGCCTTGGCCTGAGCAAAACCAAAGTCAGCAGAGCATGGATGGGAGAATCACTGTTCTCTGTGGCTATGGAGGCACGGCAGAGCCTCCCTGGTGGCTCCTGCATCCCTAGGCCAGCTGGCCATTCAGTAGTAGTTGGTTCTGCAATGTTTGCAGGGCCCAGGGAGAGAGCAAAAGCTGTGCAAGATCCCTCTCACTGTCCTTCCTTCTGCATCCTCAGGCAGCGTGGATGTCTGCCCCAGCCCCTGCATCATCCCACCGTCACCCACCTTGGCAGAGAAGGAGCTGCCATGGAAAGGAGACCAGGCTGATCTGGCTGTTTATATCTCCTCGGAGACCACCAAAATCGTGCCAGTGGATATGCAGAAGGCGTGGAACCAAAGCATCTCCTCCCTGGAGAGCATCGCTTCCCCCCCAGGCATCGAGAGTGGACCTCAGCACAGGAGATTCGCCTGCCCTGTGCTGGAGGAGCAACCCCAGTCTGCGAGCCAGGCGATGCCAGAGCAGAGCTCCTGCTTCCAGTTCCCCAGCCACATCTCTAAGAGCGGCCGGTCACAGAGTGACAGCAGCCCAGACGGTGCTGAACGGCAGGAGCTGCAGCCCTTGATGGCCACGGAGGAGCAGGGCAGGATGCTGCCCAGCACGGAGCCCAGATGGCTGATGTTCAACAGAGCAAGCCACCTCTGAGGCAAACTGTGGATGGGGAAGGGGCTGGGGGCTGCAGACGGGCTGCGACCTGCTGACCGCTCTGCTGTCTTGCGTTGTAAAGCTTGTGTGTGTCTCCATAAACTCCAAGAGTGTCAGGAGAACCCAGTACTCCGCCCGGAGCTGCACTCCAAGGTGGGCTTTGCCCATGTACCTACTGATGCAAAACTGGTTAATAATTGGGCTTTGTGCTGCAAGAGCAGGTACCAGCCCTTGTCCACCCGGGGAGGGACAGACCCCAAACCTCATTCTTCCTTTCTGGTCCCTACACATCTCTGCAGCTAGGAGGCCACAGATGTTCCTCCAGGGCTGGGATTCCAACCGGACTCAATCCCATCATGGCTGTGCTGCCCTGAGGTGTGGGGCTGCTGGCTAACGGGCCATGGCTGCTCATGGATGTAGGAGCATGAGCTGATCTCCAGCCTGGCTGTGAGTAGGAGACCTCTGGGGAGAGGGCTGGGAGCGGCGGTCAGTGCACAAGAGCCCATCCACACCCAGCGACCGAGCCGTTGACTTCTAGGTGGCTACAGTGCTCGTTCCTCACAGCGTGCATGGAGCTCAGCCAGGAGGCCAGAGATGGGCTCCTTGCCACGGCAGCTCTGCGTTGCCCGGGTTATGCAGGTACCACAGAGGCAAGGCCATGACCTTCTCAGGACTGGGAGCAGCGCTCCTGGGGTCTGGCTCCACCAGGAACCAGACTAGTGAACCTGTACGCACAGGGACTCCTTTTGCAGCCAACCTGCTGCACCAGACTCACGCCTGCTGTCTGGATGTGTTCCCAATAGCTGTGGTGTTTAGCTTTCTGGCTTTGCTAGGAGGCAGCTGCCCTGCACAGCATCCTTGGCATTCATCCTGCCCATGTCCCAGTCCCTCCAGTTGCCTGCAGCCCATGAGCTGGGAGGACTGGTCATGGTGCAAGGAGTGGAGTGAGCGGCAGGTATGAATGTACATCAGGAACAGGGGTGATGGGCGAGAGCTGAGTACATCTTCAAAGTTATGTCCCCACCACTTGCCTCCCAGTCACCCCTGGTCCCTCCTGAGAGGGTGGCAGGATCCGGTGGCAATGGCCCACACAGTGAAATATTCCTGGTGTGACCCCAAGGGCCAAGAATTGCTCCCCAAGAACTGCTTGGCACGCAAAACCTCAGCATGGCAGCTGGGCACCGGAATGCAGGAGGGTTGGGGATCCTCCTCTTAGGGAAGAATGGGGACTTGGGCTGCTAATGCCCCAGAGCAGGTAAATAACTGCCTGTTCCAGCTACGTGGGCGTACTGAGGCAGCAAGTGTCAGGGGGACACTTAGATGCACTGGGTGAGTGAGCCCAACGTGGGGTAAGTGAGCTGGTGGTACCCCCTGGTACAGTTAGCAAGGCTCAGCAAAGGCCGTTCTGCTCTGTACGTGTTCCACTAGATGAGCATGAGGTTTTTAAAAGGTTTTTATATAGTTTTGCATTTCTGGTATGCCTTATTCTGGTTTTGATTTCTGACATTGGGCCATACTAAATCTCTAGCTGGGTCAGTGTTTTCTGTAGTCATGGGCACCACAAATGACTCAAGACTTAATACCTTATTTGCAAGAATATTGTTTTAATGTGAAAATATATGCAGAGTATTTTGTAATGTTCAATAAATCGGAGTTGGAGCAGATGTCGCAGTCTGGTCTCTCTGCTGTGTGGGAACCTCTGCTCGTCCTCGTTCCTGCAGCTCCTGCTTCGGTTCTCCCTTGCAGGCACCGCATCCCTATGCCTCTCTGTTCTTCTCCACCCGAGGCCACGGCCCCCCTCTCAGACTCGATGTGCCTAACTGGATTTCCTAGTTTCGATAATGTTTGCAGAAAATGTGAAATTCTTTCCAAAGAGAAGCTTGCCTGCAGCCATCATTAGTCCGTGCCTCCGGGAGCAGCCAGCAAGAGGCCAGGAGGCAGCCGGGCCCTCGCTGCCTGGTGTCGTGGCTGCCTGCACAGCAGCAGAGTGCTGGGAGCCCAGATCTTCCCATGTCCATGCTTCCTCTCTCTTTGCCAAAAATGCAGTTCAAATGGGTCTGTTTCAGGGTATTCTGGATCACAGGAACCTCCCTGCATTGGTGTGTGCTGGCTTAGCTCTTCCCTCAATCTGCTGGCTCCCCTTCTCCTAAAAGAGAGTAAATGTGGTTCACTTGATTCACAAGATGGACGTTTGGCTTGTATTCAACCTGGCATCTACCATCACCCCGAGGTCCTTTTTGGCAGGGTCCCTATACAGCTTCCTAGCCCTGAGAGCTTTGCACTGGTCCCTCTGGAAGCTCTTGCTCCTCCCGACATTTCCCATCTGCCGTGCATCCCACCCACCAGCGATGCTGGCTGAGTCGTGCTCTGCGTGCCAGACCTCAGTGCCAGTGTTTTCTGCAGACACGATCACCTTGGCAGTGCACCAGGTTGTGTGGGCCAGGTTGTTTTGCTGGAAGCGGTGGGTCTGTGGCATTCAGGTCCTCAGAGGAGGAAAATTAGGCATCTTGGCTTCGGGAAACGCTGAGGCTGGTTGCTGCTGTCTCACATAAATATCTGAGCCTAGCAGCTAATGGGTGTGCAGGCTATCCATGCCACCAGCCAGCAGCTTGGAGCACCCTCTTCCCACTCTCCACTCCAGCCATGTTGTGACCAGGGATGGTGGCTCCTACTACACCCTTCTCCACAGGGTTTTGTAGTTTTTATTCTCACAGTCCACTCTCTGTATTTCACTTTACAGGGAGAGACAGCAGGCAGCGTCCTTCCTGCACAGGACTGCTCTGATCCTTCCAGCCTAGCACAGAGCCATCTCTTTCAGTCTAAAAATACCAAAGTGCTTCAGTGGAAAAACACAAGAACCGGGCCAAACCACGAACACATGTGCCCAAACTTCTGCTTCTCCAGGGAAGAATAAGGCATAACCAAAGGAGCTGCTTCTCAGATTGTAACCCAGAACACACAACCCTCTGACTGTTACTATAAGCAACCCCATTCCAGAGCTGCCTGACTATCGCAGACCTGTCATTTTGCATCCAGGCTTCTCCTTAGAGCCTGCCATTAAACTTCCACATTTTTTCCAGAGTGATTTACTTTCTCTGATGCTCAGCTCCTCCAGTTTCTCCGTGGTACCAGAACTTGTGAAGTCAGCAGGGGAAGTAAGGCAGCTCTGGTAACAGGGGCATCAGCTGGATGGAAGAGCCAAGCTGTGGGCGATGGATTGGTGTTGGCCTTCTCCCAAGTCAGCTAAGCAGCAGCATTGTGCAGTCGTCTTTAAAATGATGACCTTGCCATTGCACAATGCAGGTTGGAGGATCAGGTAAATTTTAGGTTGGAAGGTGCTCAGGAGGTCTGTGGTCTAACCCTGGCTCCAGGCAGGGCTGGTGGCAAAGCTGAAGCAGGTAGCTCAGACCTCTGTCCTGTTGGGTTTGGAAAGTCCTCGAGGACAGAGGTGTCACTGCCTCCCTGTCCCAGAGCCACACCACAGCTGCATCCCTCTTGTGCAGAATGATTTTCTCTTTATGCCCCGCAAGGATTTCCCCTGATGCTGCTTGTAACTGTTGCCTCTTGTTCTTCTAAGTGTGCCTCTGAGAAGAGTTGGGCTCTGGTTTCTCTGTGCCCCCTTGTAGGTAGCTCCCCTCTTTGCCTTGTCTCCCTAAAGCTGGTTCTCTCTGAGATCTCTCTCTCTCTCTCTCGTTCTGGGGAGCCCCAGATTGGAGCTAATACCTAATTGTGTCTCACAGGTATCAAGTCAAGAAGAAGAATCATGTCCTCGAATCTGCCAGCTTCATGTTCTCCATTGCAGCAAGGGCTCTGTTGACTCACGGGCAAACTTGCATGATTTTTCATTCTGCTCTATTTCTGGAGCATTTCTGACACCCTCGTGTGATGTTTTCACAATGGCCTACAGAGGCACAAGCGGTGGGAAGCTAGTGAATGGGAGCTCAGCTTCTCACCTCTCACTTGGCCCCAGCAACCATGAAGCGTAGCAGAGGCTTTGGCCACGCTCATGTTTTCATGGAGAGCAGCAGGAAAATAAATGCAGGAGAATTCAGGAGAGGTGTTCAGTCTGATCATATCTGGTGCACACATTTTGGAGACACATCATTCTGTTCTTTGCAACTTCCTGCACCTGTCCATCTGTCCAGGTATCCATCTCACCTGGATACGATCAGATTGAACACTGAGTTCTCCTGCATTTACTTTCTGCCTCTTCACACGTGAAGCAGCCATCTCTGCTTCTTGCTTTCACTGGAAGCTTTCTCTGCCTGTTGGCAGAGGGAACGATTCATTTTCACTCCAGCATTACCTCCAGCACCCAGATGGATGCCAGCCCTGGTCCTGGTGTGCCCCACCGCGCTGGCTGGTGAAGTTGTGGAGAAGTTGCTTGGCTGATGGGACGCGAGCTGGCCAGGGCTGTGCAACGAGTGACTGGTGACCAAGCTGGGATCAGTCAGCAGCCGGCGCGGATAATGAGGAACAGATTTGAGCTGGGCAGCGGTTCCCATACTGCGTTCCAGGGCAGAGCGGCCAGGATGGGAGAGCCTTTGTGCTTTGCGTTGCACCCCTCCGGCGTGTGTCGAGCCAGCCCCTCGGCTCATCCGTGCCTCCTTGCCGTCTGCCGGCGGTGAGCGTCCCTGGGCTCCCTGCAGAGCTGGGGACCCTCTCCAGCAGCTGTGCCACCCGCCCGGCTGCAGGGCTGGCCAGGAGGCTTTCCCCACACCCTGGCTGCACGGGGGAAAAAGCTGCACCGGGGACTGCCTGAGGACAGACAAGATCAGTGGGATCTTTAGGTCAGCAGGAGCTGGGTGGGGTGATCCACACCCTCTTTTGTGATTCAGATTTCTCTGCTTTTGCCTGGAGAAGAAAACGTGGCTGTGGGATTCCCTGCCCTGGAGGACTGCATGGTCAGGCTGCTGCTCCCGGGGACTCTTGCAGAACAGCCAGGGCGGATGTCAACCTGGCGAGGACTTTGATTTTACAAGTACCCAATATCCTAGAGT